TGTAATAAGAGTTGTAAGAGCCCCAATAAAATGATCTTTGAATAAAAATAAAATAAAATCATATCCGTGTATTTGGAATGTAGAACAAAAGGGGCAGATACTTTCATTTTGATTTTTGCATTGCCCACAGTATCCTAACAAGTACTCCAAAAATACTGAAATAGCACATCTATGTGAACTCATAACTCTCACATATCTTATTTGCTTTAACCATTCCTCTTCCTATTGTTGTTGTTAATGCCATCAGGACAAACACTGTCCGGTCCTGCAGCACTTTTCCTATTTGATTCTTCAGAACATTTGGGAAAAACCCTTGGGGGAAAAACTGCATATTTCAAAAATGTTGTGTATATGAAGCACTTGACTTCTTTAAGAAACATTTTTAAAAGTCAGAAAAGTACTTAATACAAGTATTCACTTTGTGTGGCCCCTTCAGCAGCACAGATTAAAAGCTGGAATAAGGCGATTAGTATGGCCCAGCACTGAGATAACATGGGAATTCATGAGGCACTCCATACGCTTATCTTGCAATAACCGTTATAATAATACCCTACCAGTAGATGCAGAAATAGACATGCAGGAGATGAGCCAGTCAGGGTGCAGGGTAGCAACAATGAAACATACAACTTTACTCTAGTTCTTAAATGCTTCCTCCCCCCACTATCATGATCCCAATTCTACCTTACAAATCTGGCTAGACCAGAGGACGTACATTGGTACAGATAGGAACTGGAAACACAGGGAATTCAGGACAGATGATCCCTTCAGGACCAGTGGTGAGAGTGGCAATACCTGTAGGGTGGAGGGGAAGGTGGGGTAGAAAGGGGGAACAGATTACAAGGATCTACTTATAACCTCCTCCCTGGGGGATGGACAACAGAGAAGTGGGTGAAGAGAGATGTCAGACAGTGTATGATATGACAAAATAATAATAATTTATAAATTATCAAGGGTTCATGAGGGAGGGGAGAACAGGGAGGGAGGTGGGAAACGAGGAGCTGATATCGGGCTCAAGTGGAAAGCAAATGTTTTGAGAATGATGATGGCAGTAAATATACAAATGTGCTTGACACAATGGATGGATGTATGGATTGTGTACGAGCCCCCAATAAAATGATTAAAAAAAAAGAAATAGACATGCAAGCTGAACAGTGTTGGGCAAAGAATGAGAAGGAACTCGGCAATATCTGTACAGCTGCCTCTTAACCAACATGGGTTGAACTGGACGTGTCCTCTTCAGCACTGTGGGTAAGACACTGCGTGATGCCAATCATCTCCCTGTGAGCAGTTCACCTCAGAGATGAGTAACAACATAGGCATTTTAGGGAGATATTCTCAGTACTTGAGCTCAACACAATGGCTAGCCACAGAAAAAAACAAAAGCCCCCCCAAAAAAAACAAAATAAAAAAACCTAACAACTGTGAGCGAGCTCAAGCAGTTCAAATCTTGTTGTTCAAGACTCAACCAGAAATTACACAAGGATTTTCAAATCTCCGCATTGTTCAAGGTCCAGAGGATATTTTTACACATGTATTTACCAAAACACACTGCCACTGAGTTGATTTCAACTCATAATGACCCCACCTACGGTGATTTCTGGAACTAGAAATCTTTCTGAGAGCCGGCGACACACTCATCTTTCTCCTGAGGAGCAACTTGCTGGTAGGTTTTTTTAAGGAACACTTAACTCACAGGGCCCAGAGGGTTCCTAAGGTGCTACGAATATATCCATGAATACAGTGGAGCACACGGGCAGGGAGAAAGGTAATGAACGTTCAAACACCTGCAGGGAATGAATCACTGGGCCTGATGACTCAGCCCACAGTCCTAAGGGACACCTCAAAGTCAACCTGCAAAAAACAATCACAATACAGCAGCGCTGCCCAGTCAGCGATACTGCCCCCTTGTGGGGCACTGGAAAGATCCAGGGGAGCTGCAGAGGCAGGTACCTACCTATACTTTATCCTGGATTATGGGCTATAGTACAAAAGTTTTTACTTGCCAAAGGAGGCACTGAATTTTTTTTCCTGAAAAGGGCACAGTGAGCCAAATAAGTTTGGGAACCTATCAATGTCCATCCTACTTTGGTGGGTAGAAACTGGGTCTTAAAAGTTCATGAACAGCCAACCAAGACACATCTATTGGTCTCTACTGGGTCCATAGGAAAGAATGGTGAAGAAAATAAGAGATCCAAAGAAACAATCCGTTCAAACGGCTAATGGCTCCCATGAACCTCAGCATATACTACCTTGACACCCAAAGAACTAGACTGTCCTTGGTTACCACTACCGACCACTCTGATTACAATCACCACAGAAGGTCCTAGATAGAGTGGGAGAAAACAATGTGGAGCAAAACTCAGAATCATAAAAGAAGACCAAGCTTATTGGTCTCAAAGAGACTGGGGAACCAGACGAAGACTGTGGTCCTTACATAACCCTTTCAAACCTGTAACTAAACTCATCCCCATGGGTCAACTTTCAGCCAAATAACAGACAAGCCTAGAAGGTGACCAGTAACAGCAGGGAGGTACTCACTCCTTAGAATAATCAACCGTACAAGACCTAAAGGGCAGCATGTGCCCGGAGACAACGTTCAGAAGGCAGGACGGGACAGGAAAGAAGGAAGAATGGAAATAGAAAACATAGGGAGGATGTGGGAAGAATGCTAGGGATTGTAGGAGATGTCCTGAAATAAAATATGCATGAATTATTGAAAGGAAAACCAAGTTACAGAGTAAGCTTTCACAAAAAATCATAATAAAAAGGGTTTTAATGACCTAGAATGAAAAAAAATACGTTCACTTTCTGCCACTAAGGCACATTTTTAATCTCAGTAAATTGAAATGATAAAATCTCATTGATGAGATTTTCTTTAGAATTTTGTGCAAAGTGACCCAATTGTATTTATGTACTGTGGCAGTTAACAGCTACAGGTTTCATACTTCAGCAAAGATATTATTTGATTATCTTTTTGATGCCAATTTTTCCCCCCAAGCAGTTATACTGGGACTTAATATACAATTCAGTAGTTCAGGCATATCAAGAAGAGTTGTACAATAATTACCTCAATCAATTTTAAAGCATTTTCTTCTTTCTTGTATTCCTTATTTAGCTCCACATTTCTCCCCAACCTCTCCTGCTGAACTCCCAAGAAACCATTGATCCAGTCTCTATAGATTCACTCATCCTCAAATGACTGGACACTATTTACACAAACAATGGGGGTTGGGGATAATATTGGCATTGGCAGAACCAGGCCTACCAGGTTATTACGTATCTTAATAAAACGAGGAGGGTATTAAAATAGTAAGTATATGGCAGTCCCTAGCCAACAATCATAGGGCACCCTCATGGCAAGAGATCCAAGTCAAGGTCCAACAACCACAGAGTTCTAGACCCTAGGTGTGGTAGTCACCTAATCTGGTGTCAATTTAAGGGTTTAGAGTATAGGAATGGAGTCTAGGCTGTCAATCTGGAGATAGCCAATGAGACTTCTGTGTGGGCCTGCCTTCTCCTGAGAATTCTGGCACTTCCTCCTAGGAGGCGGAAGACACTTCTTTCTGTCACTCCCTGGGAGGCATTGCAGAAGACAAGCCACATGGACGCAACCAGACCTTGAAAGCCAGAGAGACCACAGAGAGACCCCTGCCAGCGCTGAGATGCTTACAACGCCACTGGACCCAAAGACTTTCTACCCACTGGCTTGTGATCGCCCTGCATTCGGCTTCATTGCATGTGTTTTGTTGAGTCTGAAGAGGACTTAATAGATTGGTATCGGACATACGGGCTAATATCAGACTTATGGCCTTGGACTGGACTGGGTTGGGATATTTTCTCCATGTTCAATTCCTCTTGTATATAAATCTCTTTCTTACACACGTGTGTCCATGATTTGTTTCTCTAGTCTACCCAGACTGACACACTAGGAATAGCAGTCATCTGGTTCTTCCCACACTATAAAGTTTCAGCCTTGAGTCTAAGGGTTACAGGTGAGTTTGAGGTAAATCCCACTTCATTTAGTGAGGCTTCTACATTGAGTTCTTTTGGTGTGGCCTCTGAAGGATTGTGCACCTCAAAAGAAAGTCTAACTTTCTTTTGTAGTTCCCAATAGTCTATAGCACCTGGCCTGGGGCTTTTGACCCATTTAAAATTTGTTCTCGTTTTTTAACATTTTCTGTATTTTTTTTTAATCAAGGGTTTTGGTTTTTTTTTCTGTTTTACTTTGTTATTGTTGTTGGTTTTTCAGCTGTTTCTTTTTTGTATGTCCACTGTCCAGTCCTGCGCCATCCTCACAATTGCTCTGTTTGAGCCCATCCTTGCAGCCACTGGGTCAATCCATCTCATCAAGGGTCTTCCTCTTTTTCGCTGCCGTCCACTTTACCAAGCATGCTTTTTTCCCCCAGGAACTGGTCTCCCCTGATAATATATCCAAAATACTTGAGATGATGGTGAAACATCATCTCAAGTATAGCATGCTTGGCTATACTTCTTCCAAGACAGAGCTGTTGCTTCTTTTGGCAGCCCATCGTACTTTCAGTGTTCTTCCTAACACCATAATGTAAATGCACGGATTCTTCATTAGGCTTCCTTATTCCATGTTCAACTTTCACATGCATATGAGGTGACTGAATACTCTGGTTTGGGTCAGGTATACTTTAGCTCTCAAAGTAACATATACTAACATACTTATCATTATTAACAATCTTGTGAAATAGGTACTATTGTTCCTATTTTATAGATTTGGGGTAAAAATTAACAGCAATTTACTCACAGTTATACAAGTAATAAACAGCAGCACTAATATTCAAAAACAAGCAGTGTAGAGTCTGGGGCCCCACTATTTACCAGTACAGTACACTGAACTGACTCTTCATGGTACATCTCTTACCTGATATTGTTGTCCACCTCCATTCAATTTCAGTATCCATTACTGGCTTTCATCATTTCCAAAGACAGAATAAGGTGAAACTAATCTGATAATGAGTATTAAAACATACCTTTTGAATGGCCTCTTCCATATCCAACTCAAATTGTTCGTCCTGCAATAATCTGAGGAATCTACGGCGCTCAATGCGGTCATCAATTTCATTCTTCACTTTTAGGTCCCTAACTTGGTTCTCTATCTCTTTGAGCCCTTTCATTTTCAATTCTTTGTTGTAATTTTCATCTACTAATTTCTGATGCCTTTCAACACAGCTCAATGTTCTTCTTTCGGAAGCCTAAAATGCAAAAAAGTTATAGATAAAAGAAAAATTATGTATTTGATATTCCTGTAATTTTTAAGTGATGCAAGATAAGTAACTAATATAGGAAAGGTGACTGGCTTCCTTCCTTCCTAAAGTCAGAGGAGTTTCCATGATCAAAGTGTAAACACGGCAGACAATGATAATAAATCAATAAATATAATAACTCAGTAAAGCAGGTGCTATTATTATAAACCATTTTTTTAGATGAGGCTTAAAAAATAAAGGCAACTTACCAGCTTATGCCACTAATAAATGGCAGTTAGTGGATTCAAAGACATCCAACCTAACGCTTAGTCCCATTTCCTTAGCATGACCCAGGGAATCCCTCTCTCCCATCCCGCCTCTATCCAGGACAGGTGCAGGAAGAAAACTGGTCAAGTTTGCCTCCCACGAACCCTTTCACTCGGGACTTTCATTTCCGTTAAGGTGTCCCTGATTTCCAATCATACGAGAAGCAAGCTTTTATCGGGCAAATGTAGAGATGAATTAAAGAATGCCTGGGCGCTCCCGTGAACGCCCTTCGAGGGTCAATATGAGCCATGCATTTCGCTCTCGGGTTAGGAACTTCAAAGCCTTGGTGCAAGCGGGCCGGCCCCGAACTACATTAAGTAAACAAGTCGTGTGGAGTGCCCTGATCAGCTCACCATCTTGGCGGACCCAAACTCCCCGCTCGGCGTCCCACCGCCTCGCCCGGCGGCCCGCGAGGTCGCAGCGGGCGGCCAGGCGCTCCCTCGGTGTCCCAGCAACCGCCGCCGCGGCGACGCTAGAGACGCAGGCCAACGAGCGAACGTCCCGGCCTCCTATTGGCCGAGGCGAGACCCAATCAGCACCGAGGTTCTTGGGAGCCGGCAGCGTGGATACGCTCATAGGTCAAAGCGAGACGGGCGGGAAATTTAGACGAGGCCCTTGGTAATTTGATCGGGAGCCCAGCCTTTGCCCCCAACAGATGAAACGGCTAATTTGAGTGGGTTTATAACCTCGGTGAAAATCTGTAGCACCTGTTTCCAGAGAAAAGCAGACGCTGCTGTCTAATGCAAAGCGGTGCTAGAAATGTCCACGCACAGAGCATCCGGTCTTTGGTTTGTCGTTGCCTCCAGAGCTGGAGCAAAAGCCACTGGCGGTGCTTGTTAGGGGCTGTTAGTTCCCATAGATTTCAACTGGTAACAGCCCTATTTACAACAGATTGAAACACTGCCAGGTCCTCTGCTGTGCTCACAATTGTTACCATATTTGGTCCCATTGTTAAGCCACTGTGTCCATCCGTCTCACCGAGTCTTCCTCTCTCTTACTGACCCTCTACTAAGCACCCTATCTCTCCTGGAAACATATTCAAAGTATGTGGAACGAATCCTCACCATCCTTATTTCCAAATAGCCTTCTGGCTGTATAAATGCTTCTTTCAAGACAACTTTGTTCATTCTTGGCTGCTGCTTCCGCAGGCTTTGATTGGGAGATCCTTGACAATGTGAATCTTCTCCATTTATCAGTGTTGCGTATTGGTCCACGTATGAAGGTTTTTGTTTTCTTTACATTCAGGTGTAATCTATACTGACTGTTGTAGCCTTTGGGCTTTAATCAGTAAATTATTCAAATCCTCCTGTCTTTCAACAAGCAAGGTTGTATCATCTGCATATCACAGTGTGTTAATGAGACTTCCTCCAACCCTCATGCCACATTCTTCTTCATAAAGTCCAGTTTCTTGGATCATTTGCTCAGCATACAGATTGAAAAAGTATAATGAAAGGATACAACCCTGATAGAAATCTTTCTATATTATAAACCCTGCAAGACCCCCTTGTTCTGTAGAAATGACTGTCTATCTACAGGTGTTGCAAGACCACAATTAAATGTTCCAGAATGCCCCATCTTCACAACGCTGTGATTCATATCATCAATTGGCTTTGTACAGTCAATAACATACAGGTGAACATCTTTCTGATATCTTCTATTTAACCATCGTCTATTTGTGTCCACAATGATAGCCTTGTGTCCTCTTGTGAATTTGACTTTACTTTCTGACAGTTCTCTGTAGATGGACTGCTGCAATCACTTTAAAATTACTTTTCTCCAAATGTTATTTATGTGTTAAATTAACGATATCATTAAATAATTTTCACTTTCTCTTGGATCACTTGGATCTCTTGGATTCTTTGGAATGGGCAGAAACATGGGTCTCTTCCATGGGGTTGGTCACGTCTTCCATCATGGCATTCATTCGTTGAAGCATCTTAGCATAGAAGAGTGCTTTCATTGATGCCTCCATTTGTTGAAACATCTCAATGGATACTCCTGGAGCCTTGTTTTTCACCAATATCTTCAATGCAGCCTGAACTTTTTCCTTCGATAACATCTGTTCTTCACTGTATGTTACCTTCTCAAATGGTTGAATGTTAACCAGTTCTTTTTGGTGTACTGACAGCGTATTTCTTCCGTTAATTTTGTTGTTGTTTTGTATGTGTGAATTGGGCGAAAACAGGTCATCAATATTCCATTCGATTTTGTTTCATCTCACTGGCTTCTGCCCTCCATGTAACATCACCTGTCTCCCTTCCTGTGTTTCCTGTTACTATTCTGCTTTCTTTCCTCACCCTTCTGAACTTTGTCCTGAGGTAAATAGTATCCTCTTGATTGTAAATGGTTCATTGTTCTAAAGTGTGCATACCTCACCAATTTTATTGCCTCCTTTAGAGATCTGAGTGAGCCACAGGGTGAGCTCAGTTCTAGGCCTGAAGAGTGACTATGGGTCATAGTCTCAGGAATTGCACCAGGCTCGACTTGACCACTCAGACTGGTCTTTTTTGTGATTTTGAGTTCTTCCACATTTTTTCCCTTGCCTGTCTATATAGGATCTTCTATTATGATCTCTTTCAGAGCATTTGGTAGTGATAGACATCATCTAATTCTTCTTGTCTCAGGGCCGTGGACACTGATGCCACGTGGTCCATTAGTCCAGGGAGCTAGTATCTCATTGTGTCTTTGATATTCTTCTCTTCTTTTGTCTGGACAGGAAGACACCAATCGTTGAGTGTTGCATGGCCACTCATGAGCTTTCAAAATCTAACTAGCTACTCCATGAAGCAGGATATAGAGCATTGTCTCTGTAGGCTATATTATGCCAATTGACATTAGTGCCCTCTAATCCTATGGTCCAAGAACTAGAAATGCATTCCCTCAAAGTGTTTGGTTATGTCTAAGATATTTTCAAAACATTGCCTCCTGTATGCCCCATCACATTCATGGTTATATTTGCAGCAAATCAAAATAACCTTTATCAAATATACATACATATATATGTATTTGATAAATTTATATATACTGTATATGAATTTATCAAATGCATATATATGTATATATTTGATATATATGTGCCTTTTTGGATATACAGTGAACCCTCACCACTTCGCGCTTCGACTTCCACGGCTTCACTCTATCGCGGTTTTTGCGTAACAGCACCCACTGCCTACACCCGCTCCTTCAGAGGAAAAAGACGGC